ACTAGTCGAATACGTAGACTTCTACAGGGCCTTCTAAGTAATGCGCGCCGGGTATAATTCAAACCTCTGCCCCCATCGGTACCATTACCCCTAAAGCAAATCGTCTCCAGGAGACGAAATTGGGAACAAGCGTCCGTTCGGTCATTGGAAATATCCACTGCGCGCGCACGTCCGGGCCTTTGGCGGCAATCTTTTTACCTTCACCCTTGCTCCTTCGCCGGTACCGGTTCTTATCCATCCCATCCTTCCTGGTTTTCCTCCCTGCCCCCCCTTGTTTTGCCCTGCTCGCGTCCTCATTGCCCTAGCCTCGCCCCCCTCGCTCCTTAACGTATCTATTAGGTATTTATTTTACCTATGGTACTAGCTAGCTAGCTAGTACTGGCTACTACTAGCTAGTACTGTATGCCAGTAGCTAGTACGGTAGTAACATCTCCCTGAACATCCATCATCGTTGTTACCATCAGGTTCTTCTTCCTTATTTCTGCCGCTTGTGACATTACTTTGGGTGTGCCACCATGTCCTCCTCAGCACGAAAACGACAGAAAGCGAGCGGGGACATTTATCGCAGAAAAACCAAAGCAGCACGAAAAGGTGAATGCCCTCCAGCCAAGGATGGAAATGCAGAGCTGAAGTGGAGGGGTGATCCAGACAAGACATACAGTGACTGGAAGATTGAAATTGTATCCAATGAAGAGGAAGAGGCTGGAAGTAGCCAAAAGGTGGACACATACCATGTCCACAAGGTAACTCTTGCCTGTGGCACACGAAAGAGTGAATATTTTGATCGTCTCTTCCAGAATGGTGACAAATTCCAAGAAGGAGTACAATCGATTAGCTGTATTGAATTGCACGCACTGGCAGCCAAGGCATTTCCTGACATGCTTGACTATGTGTATGACCCAAGAAGGACACTCGACATCAGCATAGGAACAGCTGTATCCCTGTATCATCTTGGGGAGTACTTTGAGATCCACCCGCTGCAATGTGATGCTCTGGAATTCATCAAAAAAGTTGATCCGGCGATCTGCCACATCATGGTACAACATGCCATGATATTCCACAATGATACAATTATTGAAGCTGTTGGGGAGCTTTTGAGTGAGGAAATTTGCGAAATCAAGCCATATTATAAGATTGTGTCGGATGTATTCTTCCCCCCCTTGTGGTTGCACATGTCAAAATCTATGGATAAGAGATATGAGAGGGTTCGGAAGTGTTTGAGGTCATACTATTTTCAGATTTTGAGCAGCCTCATAGCTATATTTGTGAAGTGTCACAAAAACGCCTTGGACACTGCCACATTTGAAGAGCTTACCAGTGAGAAAAACATGCCCTTCTTTCATGCCGACTCCAGTCTGCTTTTTTTGGAGGTCGAAGAATTCATTCGCAAGAAGGAGGGCAAAGAAGTTGTTGTTGAAGGGACTGTGTTGGGAAAGCGTTGTGCCAGGGCCATTGCTGCAGGTGACTACCATTCTGACTGCACAAGTGAAAAGGAGTCCTTGTGGAAAATACTCAATGCACACCCTGACATGCTAAAGGAAGTTTTCTTCGACACCAGGAAAAACTTTGTCGAGTGCAAGTTGGCGTTTGCAAGGTCGCAGCAAGACTATATTAAAGTCACAGTCCCACTTCCACACCAACCCATACACTCCAAAAGTCAGCGTACGGCTGAATCAGCTGTTGGCGCTAGTACTGCTGCTCTATAATTTGATGCAGTTATAGCCAGGACTGGTATACGTGTATCTACCTGTGAGCTTTTTACTGCATTTCTGACTGCCTCAAAAATTACACATGCTAGCCAGATAGTCGTGCGGCTACTCTATCTCGTCATGAGTGCTGACTTCTCATTGGGTTGTTCTTGTACCAAAATGCTCATTTTTAGTGTTTTAGTGCATGTAGATGGAATGATGAATCCGTACTTGTCTATCTAGCTCTATAGCACAAGCCGCGACATTCCACTCTGAATGACGACGCCATAGAATCCATGCCATCCCCGTTTGTGTCCTTGCAGCAAATCCCTTGGACTTTCCCTTTTTTGGTACTCGTTTGTCCACTCTCTGGTATTGTTGTTGTTGCCGAGTCGCCTGTACCAGTACCTACCAGATACGTCACAGCAAAACCCCCTACGGTACTATCGCATCCCCGCTTACGCACGGTACCGTACAGACCCAAACTCAGAATCTATCAGCTTGCAGCGGTGCCGTACGTTGCACAGGCAAGGGGACTGTTCATTCATAGCTCCACTAAGGTAGAAGCTTCCAGGTATGGTACGGTACGGTAGATTTGTGGAGACAGTCACAGCTCTTGTTTGGCCATCTCAATTAACTTCGTTTCGGATTATTATCGTGTTGTTTCAGTTGTTTCCTTCGCTTTTGTTTTGACGAGCAATATATGACAAGACTGTTGCCTCCACTCTTGCAACAAGTCAACACATGCTTGCATATCCCCAATCACCTTTGGTTCCTTGAGATTGGAATCCAAATTGATCCATTGCGCCTGTTGTGGTTGCCACAGCAATGTGAACCAGTGTCGTCCTTTGGTCACGTATCGCGCCCAAAGACTGGTCGATGGTAAATTGACCACAATTCCAGCCACTTCCTTGTCAGGTGTAGTGGTGGTAGTAGTACTAAAATACTCTTGCAAAACAGCCAGTGTCATTTCCTGTCGCGCATCGTGCCATTGTACGGCGAGTCCTTGTTTTTGTTCGAGAATAACCATGAGCACGTTGGCATCGTAGTTCCCAATGCCCCACATGGATCGATGAGGATTCATTATGGAGGAAGGTGCCAAGTCCTCACACACCGCATCAAACGTGTCCTTGTCGTATGCGGGTTTTTGGAGTAGATTGTTGACGGCGTGGACGCCACAAAATGCCCATCGTTGGCGTTCGTGGTACATGGTCGATACAACTACTAGTATCTATCTACGAATCGAATCTATAATAGCAATTGCCAAGGCCGAAGCAAATCGAGCAATGGACAGGCAATGCCATGGTCGATTTGACGGGTTTGGCGATTTGGCCACGGCGTTGAGTTGGATCAAAAGGAAAAAGATCTATCATCAGACGCGTTCGGTACTCAAAGCAAGTTTCTCACACCAAAACACAACACAAAGATCTTGAAGCATTTTCGACGATGATGAATGCTGGAAGAGACCCAACAAACCAACAACCAGTCCATTGACAAACCAACAACTACATACAACCAAGTCCAAGTAAATAGAACAGAGACAGACAGACACGGCTTGCTAGCCAGCTAGCTAGGAAAGCAAGATCATCAGCTAGCAAATGACAGGGAGTTCTTTGCCTCACTACTACTATGCATACTTGTCCAGCAAGACCAGTCGACATGTTCTGATCGGATCGATTGCTGTGTTGATCCTCTGGAGATTGGCACACGACACAGTCTTCCAGAAGAAGCAACCCTTGATTATTCGCTACGAAAATCACATTTTGGAATCGTCGCATCCTCGCTGTTCCCCACGGATTGGTCCCAACACTACCGTTCTGTTGGTCCGTGGCCCCACATGGCAACAATTTCACGGCCCAAGCAAATCTGTGAAACGAGGAGGGGAAGCCTACGTCTTTGCCTCGTTGGATTGGGCACTGCAACAATTGGGAGTCACGGTCGTCCAAACGGAACAATCGTTGGAAGAATTGGGTTTGACCGAATTGCAAAAATACAATCGCATCATTGCCAATGGACTCGAATGGCCGCTCGAGCGAAAGCACAGTGTCGTGTGTCGTCATCGACCACTGCATTTTTGGGGCAACTGGAAAGGCACCGATGGTCATCCATATGTGCCCAAACAAGTCTTGTCGCCATTTCCCGATGATTACAATACATTTTTGGGATTCTTTATGCATGCTGTGCTACTGGAAACACCCGCACAACAACGACGCATTCCGGCAACGACACGACACAAACAAGGACTCATTGTGGGAAAAATACCTGAATTGTTCACATCCGAACGAGTACGACCGGTTCTAGAAGCACTGATAGAAAATGGATTTGTCCTCTACTCGGTTTGTAAAGCTCCCCACCATTGTGGACTACCATCACAAGTCCTCATTCCACCAGCGCCCATGGGACCCGTCGAATACGCCCAATTCATGTCCGAAATGGCCTTTCTCATTGGATTCGGGGATCCCATTATATCCCCGTCCCCATTGGAAGGATTGGCCCATGGCGCTGCCTGGTTGAATCCCCACAAGGAATACACGTCGCCCACAAGAGAACAAGCCGCCAGAGACGTGCTGGACAAGGAACCGTATTGGCATTGGACCCATCCGACACCGTTGAATACGCAACACAATCCACTGGCATTACTGGGCGCCCCCTATGTGTACAATATTCACTTGGACAATGTGACACAAGTCCTCGAGGCGGCGCATCACGCCGTCCAGTATCGATTTCAATCCTATGTTCCTCCCGAGTTTCGCCCCGAAGCCATGATTGCCAGAGCGTGTGCCATGCTCGAAGACGATTCCATTTGCGAGTGTCCACTTCATAATAGTGTGGATTGTCGGGCCAGTTCGTACATGCGAAATCCACCTCATCAAGAATAATAAAGCAATGAGGTGAAATAGGTGGGGAAAAACACACACACACACGCACATACCTACAAGGCATGAATGGTGGGCGTCCCGCCGCCAGCAACACTTGTTTGTGCACTATGGTACTATAAGATGACAATCCACGCGCACCAGCGACGAAGACGCACTACAAGGCAATTTACAAAAAGCAAGAGTTAGTTGCATGACGATGTTATCTATCCGTGGGGCGGATCGAACTCAGCTCAGTGGACACATCTTTCACAAATTGTGTCTCTTGGCTGCAAAACATGTGTGCGTTGCAAAAGACACAAAAAGCAGGAATGTTCTTGGTTTGGGCAAGAAGCCATGATGAAAGGTATAGTTTTGGGCAATTTGGTGGCGCGGATCTTGGAGTGAACAAACGCAAACCTTTGCTAGCTAGATGATAGCACTAATAGAAAGCTTGGTTTTGGCTTAGGTTTTCTCAAGAGAAAAACTGATCTGCCAAGGTCAATGACATGGATAGATAGCGCTCTACAGTCGTACTATAATAGCTAGCAGAGAAAAGCAAATCCCAATGAATTGAAGGAAGTCTAGCCTCTAGCTAGCCAGGCTGCCTCTCCACGTCTCTGTTAGCTTACACAACGCGAAAGTGAGCAATCAAGGATGGGGGATGGGGTGCATCACTGCTTTTGGCAATTGCCTTTTGCGGTGAACTGAAAGAGCTACTGAAAGTCAGAAAGTCAACACTGTCACTAAAACTTCATACAATCGATGCACTCACCTCCGACAGACACCTTCCGGTTACTATGTCACCAGAGGCACTGTATGTTCTGGAGAAGCCACTGTATGCAGGATGCTTCTGACTTCCCAAACGCGGGCATCTTGGGGTGACATTTTTAATGTTTGAATCCTCTTTCGAAAGTTAAATCCATTGCCGCGACTTTCTGATCCAGCTGCACTATGCTACTTAAATCTTGTGGCCACCAATCGCACTTTTGTGCTGTTAGAAGGCAGGGCCTGCCTTGGAAACAAAGCTGTTACTGTAGTCTAGCTAGTCTAGCTTCCTGCCAGTTTTGGTCGGCGAAGATCTCGAGGATCAGAGGCATCTGGATCTCCCGTCATGTACAGTAGACTTTGTCCAAGAACCCAACAGCTACCGGTACCATCTCGTCAATCAGCTTCACGCAAAAGATCACCTGTTGCTGAACATCATCAAAATTGATCAGTAGTGTCCATATTTTGCTACCTGATCCCGCTTTTTCGCCAAGCTTCCCCACCCATGGCGGCGAGCGCAACCATGAACATTGTAGCCGAAATACCCGAGGTAGCCAGAGCCAGCTTTGTGCCAGAAGAATTGGGAGACAACATGACAGAAATCTCTTCTTCTGCTGCTGCCAACGGCCTACTAGTAGACGACATGATTCCAGAAGGGTATCGCCAGCCTTCTCCTTTTGATGAGGATGACTATAGTACCGCAACCGAAGAAGGGTTGAGGGGTAGCTCTGCCAGTTCCTGTACTTCTACGGGCAGTGTGGGCAAGGAAACATTTCCAGAATCAAAATTTTGCGACCTCAAGCCATCCGCACATCTATTCACACCCCAACCAATCAAGGGTCTATTGACGAGCAGTGGTAGCATGCCCCCCAACTTTCAGCCGTACGAGAGCTTCTACAATGTGCCT